ACACATATCAATTAATACATTAATTAAATTATTGTTTATTTAATCTCATTTAATAATAACCGTTTGATGATAAAATGAACGATCAAGATCGGTTCACATAGTTTGTACCATATGGTTGGTTTCTATTTGAACCAGCCCCTATATATATATATATATATATATATATATAATCATAGATTAATTTGAGAAGTGGTAAGTATTTAGAAAGTAGAGAAGTGATCATAGCCCTTCGTCTAGTCAAAATTTATGGTTTTAACTGTGAAACACTAAATTATTCCTCACATAGTATGCGGAAGATAGAGAGATAGTTTCGTAACTCTTACAAATATACTGCAAAACAAGTGCATATGTGAATCTGTATTATTCACATATAAACTATATGTTCATATGTGATTCTGTGTGATTCATATATGAGCTATTTGACTTATTCACAAATGAACCCGTATGATTTACATATGAATTAACTAACTGATTTACATATGAACTATGAGTTCACATATGCACTTGTTTGTCGCCTATTTATAAACTTTGCTAAACTACCCCGCTATTTTTCGTTTGACCAGTCAAAGCCTTAAATTTTGACCAGTCAAAACCACAATTCTTAACCAGTCTTGACTGTATGAAAGGCTAGGAAGAAGAGGTTACAATATTTCTAAATTAAAGAAACCTCCTACTCCCTATTTTTTAAATTGAAAAATACGAAATATGTCAAAATTCAACGAAGCAAATTACACCAAAAATACACTCATATTTTTCTCGTTAACTTGACATTAATATTCATATGTTTTTCATCCTTTTTTTCGTAGTTTTATGCTTTTCCATTTATTTAGAGTTTTTCCCTGAACCTAATCATATAAATATATATATATATATATATATATAGAGAGAGAGAGAGAGAGAGAGAGAGAGAGCGAGAGAGTGGGGTCAAACGAGAACGGTACATATTTAAAAGAACACGAAAACGAGAAAATCTCGTGCAAAATCACATGTGATTTTACATTAATAGTAAAAAAAAATGTTCGGGCGACTTGTGGATGCGTTTTTCAAGTCGTCGGGCAAGGTCGTCTGAATCACATGTGATTTTCTATGTGATATTATTGTAAAATCACATATGATTCATCTTTTTTCGTGTTTTTTAAATAGATATCGTTCTCATTTGATCCTCCCTACAAACACATATATATTGTATAGTAATTCACCAAAAAAAAGTTAGAGAACAAAAAAATTACATGCTAACAATATTGCAGGTGGTGTTGGCTATTGAGCAAGTGACTTTATTTGCATCGTCACCAACAACAGCAGAGACCCAATTTCCTCTTCCGGTGCATGGATCCTCGTTGAAATCCCAATTTTTACCCAACTTCCTTCCGATTACCCTCAATGCATCCACTGTCATAAATCAAAACAAAAACATTAAATATAAAATTTGAAGTTCATATCTACTTACAAACATGAATCATATCTTAAAAACCTTCATCAGAGGGAAGACAAGTTGTGTTGATGGATGCAAAACCAAAGGGGAGCAACARAAGACATAAAATTCCGAACAACATGCCGCTTAGATCACCTAGCGGCGGTGAAAGCCGTTCGACTTCTTTAGACGACGCGTAGTCGATTAATAAAACGGTAATGCGAAACTAAAGCGCTCCAACGATAACCATTTTTGGGATCATACAATGTGTAAGTATATAGATGGAAACAAGTGTTGATTCGAAATTGAATAATGCAAGTAGACGAAGACTTTTGTAATGTTGTTTTCTAAGTATTAATGTGAGAATGTCACATGTCATGTCTCATTCAATGTACTCCACCATATTTATTATTTAATTTTGTATGTAATAATATATCACGTTATTAAAATCTAAATTCGTATATAATATAACATTTTACGTATACCTCAATAATTAAATTGATTTAAATCAAATGATTGTGAATAATAATAAGTCGTTACATCTCGTAAAATTCTCATTTCATCATGAATAATGTTATRTCATCTAAAACAAGTTCCTCKTAAATACTTCAAAAATAACAGCTGAACGAAAACCCTCTAGTGGAAGACTGAAAAAACAATAAGTAACTCAAATGTTAACTCGTCCCATTTCAAACGACGTCACAAAATTGATCCAAATATAAACGGGCAAGTCTTTAAGCATGTCTCTTTTCTTTGTCCAACCTTGAATTTCATCCCCATGAGATGCATGTAATAATCAGTAATAAAGTTRGGTGAGTTCAYAGTTTTCGTGAATAACAKCATATCGCATCATGTGTATCAAACATGTAAACTCTGTATAARACAATATGCAGTTTCCGAAAACATGCAACATTGAAAGAGAAGAGATATTGTAAATTGCCTTGGCGGAAATGGATCATTTTGTTACTTACATTCCCAAGGTAGACCGATCTGCAAATGTCCGATCACACATTGATGGATCATGTCAATATCGAGGACTTACKAGTCATGCATCCATCCCCTATAACCAAACTTAAATTGTCGTACGCCATATAACCGTATAACTTCATATCATAGTCAAGATAGTTTCTACATAAATCAACTGACAGCTAATTACGATCAACCTCTAAACATTGAACCAAATAATAACCATTAACCTTCTTATAATGACATAAATCTCTTCCTTTTGACATACAATGTGTAATAATGATAAATTAATTAAGTTAAATTTTTTTAAATTGTTATTAAAATAAAAAAATATAGAAAGTGAGGGGTTTGTTGGGCTAATTTATATAAACATTAGGATTTAAGGAAATAACAAAAAGATAATAAAAAAAAATAGAAGAAAAAATCCAAGGGAAATAGTCAAATAGGAAACCTTCTTCCCATATGAAGATTTTTATGATTTTTTTTAACTATCGGTGT